GGATAAAAGCGCTGAACAGACTACCAAATTTGGCAAAAGATATTTTTTTCTAGGTCTACATTGATGGACAGTTTGTCGGTGGTTGCGACATTATCATGGATATGCATAAAAACGGTGATCTCGTTGAGGAATTGAAAAAAGTTGGTATCCGATCAGCGCTACAGGACCAGGAACCTCCAACGAAAAAATAAGCGACCTATGTATGGAGTTAGCCAGGAGCTAGATAATTATCGCACTACGGCAATGTCGCCGTATCATGTAGATATTGCAAATTGTTCTGCTACTGCTATGGTTAGTACCGATTTTATAAATTAGGTGTCTTATTATATAAATGATCATTGAAACTTTAAAAAACAAGAAATAAATTGTGCGTGTTGAACACGCATGTTGATGACTTAATCAAGCCTTATCGCTTTTATATAGTTGGGTAATCACATAATTTTACAAAACTACGTGGGCTATTTTGTAATACGGTGTCATCTTGTTAAATAATGCTAGTTGCTTGATTTCTCCTTTTCTATACCAGTTCGTATATTTGTAAGCTGTAGGCATAACGAAGCTGAACACTTCATTCAAATGAATACAATCCTTTAACATGGCTATCTTCAACGAAACGGTAAATGCTTCAGGGACTAGTAGACATGTATAAAAATGTCTATTTATTGGTTCAAGGAAGCCAGTAGTTAGAAAAGAAGCCTGACCTATTACATGGCAAACCTAAAAGGTGTCATTTAGAAAATAACTCACAAGAGAAAGTGTTTCACTAACATGCACTGAGATAACGACACATGATTCGATTAGAAATATTGCTTTTTATATTCAGAAGTACAAACATTTATTTATAAATTAGACGTTCCCTGTGGGGATACATCTGAATATACATATATACCAGGTGGATTCATAGCTGAGTTTGAAATAGATGTTTTGGTTTCCATTAGGTCGACTCACCGCCTACAGATGCAGTGCTATAGGCACATCATATATATCAAAATCGATTTACTATAAACTGATATTCTTGGTATGAGTTGCTTTTCTCCGCATCTATCAGATGCAGATATATGACAAGAACTGTTAAATCTTGGCTAATTTGGAATCCGATTCTTATGAACCCATTAAGAGTTCTAATGACTAAAAATACCCCAACATAAGTGATAATCCAAATATAAGGTGTTTTGATGACTGGGTTATTCGATCGACAAGCTTTCTACGAGCTATCTTTTTTGGGCAAGGAAGTGGCATTTAGTTTGTGTAGATCGTCGTGCAGTTGACCCAACATTGTCGCGTCGACAGGCCTCTGAAGTGCTTCCTTTGTTCTCCAAACAGCACGAGCCACATCCACGGGTAACGTAAGCAATCGGAATGGGATTGTTAACAGGTTACGTAAGGTGCTTATCTGCACAAAGAAGACAATGGACGCTAAGTATTTATGTAGAAGAAACAGCCAAGCAGAGTTAGGCACTCCACATACAGAGTAATCGATGTTGTTTTAATGGTAACGTGAACTCCAAACTAATGAAAATGCACCATAATCATGCAAAAAAGGAAAGACCTAATTAATGAGTAAACCGATATCTGCAGAACCGTAAAACTGAAAGTAAAAAGAGCGTTTTAACGTCAAGTCGGGCCTAATACCTAACTGACAACAACAGAGCTTGCATACACTTTGAAGCCTTACAGGAACAATAGATTTCAAAAACCCCTCTGCCTTTCTCGTACAGAAGCCTTCGTCTAAGGTTGGCTCGAATGAAACTCATTATAATATATTCAGTGAAAGGAGTTGCCGGACATTGACGATATGCTTGATATTCTCATAAGTTTCTCTACCTTGTAGTGGACCACTGCAACAAGTGGATAGGCGGCGTAACTCAATATCGGTGTTCCATTTAAGGAATCCGTATCATTGTCAGATCGTAACAAGCGAAGAGTATCATTAAATGGCAAGCCCATGTTATCCGCCGTACCGAACAGATTTGAAAGTTGTAGCTGTGCGCTTCCGTTATGTCCGCCATAATGGAAGTGCGTTGAAACCTGAAGAAAGATGAGTTTTTCTTTTTTTTCTTTTAATTTTCTAAAAGATAAAACTTAGCGAATAGATATACAGTGTTTTTCTAAATACGCTTCGATTTATATTTTTAGACGTCTACGGTGTCGGGTCTGGCAAAAATGTCTTTACAGTTTTATTTAATTGTCAACATAGTAGTTTTAAAATGGCATGTTTGAATTGTGTTTGGTACAAAGCAGATTTAAAACACATTATTAGTACTAGAATTAAATAATAGCTTCAATTACTCACGATTAAATCATATACCAGTAAGGCCGGTATAGATATTACTTAGCTTTTCAATTAGCTTCCGAAAATTAGCTGTTTCTTCCCTGACTACAATTGTGAACCGAGGTAGTGTGTTTTACGTAAGGACTTGCCATTGGCACAGGTTGCTTAAGTGCAGATCATCGGGGTCACATAGGGCTTTCTTTTACCAAAACATTGGCTCATTTACACATACATTTACCTATATATATATATATATATATATATATATGTATATATATACATATATATATATATATATATATGTATATATATACATATATATACAGGATGTCCCAACAATGTATACACAGTTTGAATGATAACCTTAATTTTTATTTACAAATAAGTAATGCTTAATAAAGTCAATTTATTTTTCCTTTTATAGCAAATATTTAAAATTTCTACCATTTTGGTCAATACAGTGCCGATAATGACACGGTATTCATCCACAAACTTGATTTTATTTGGTGTTATGACGTATTCCTGGTCAACCACGACTTTGAAATCTTCGAGTGTCGTCGATTTACTTCCGTAGACTTTGCCCTTTAAGTATCCCCATATGTTCTCACATCACGATAATAGTGCGCAAATGTTCTTTTCTGTTGAAAATAAGCTTTACTATCTTCGCCAAATTCTCTCGGAATGCGCGGCAAAATAGAGTTTGAGGTAAATTCGACTAATCGCCATAAATATTTTCTGGGACATTATATATATATATATATATATCTACACCAATCGTCGCAAACGCTCGTACCTTTTTAGTCTTGCTCATCCTTAGCTTATGTATTCCTAGAGCTTAATTAATCTATCGATATTTTTAACAGAATTCAGATCCACACGTCCTTCTAGGCGACGATTTCATCTTTCTCGTTCAAGGAGTGGCAGAGAGATAAAACTGGCATTGGTCTTTCATCAAACTGTTTAAACAGGAGATGTAAGTTAAACAAGATCAGCAAAAGCCTACTAATCAAGTTTTGACGATAATCTATTAAATAATTAACTGCGAACATACCACAAGTTGTACCACCAGACAGCTAAGAAGGCCGACTATATTTTGAGCACCTTGTGCCATTGTAATCCGATTTCGCTGTTTAGCTCTTTCTTTTCAGCTCACGCGCCGTATAGCGACCTTTCATGGAGATCATGGTTAGCCTTTTCACAAAAACGAAAATCAAACCATCTACAAATAGACGTGTGACTCTCACTAGCCTAGCTTGTTGAACGTTGCACTGCAGTACCAATTCCGTGCAGTGTTTTTCGCATTCGTTGCATATTAAATTGTACGCACACGTGTCGCATTAGTAATACACCCCGATCGTAGGATATTTGACACGCGTGCTGCGGGCATGTCGACAAATACAGAAGAAGTACACACATTAAACCGGCACACAAATCTAATCCGGCACGAAACATTGGGATCAATATACGGAACCTGCACGTGGCCTCGATATTCGAAGCGAAATAGGCCAATCTATCAGTTTGACGTTAGATATCCAGTAAATTAGAGCTTACTCTAATGTCTGTTATGAGAAGTAGGTTGGTTGAGTCCCGTTTTTGAAGTTGAGCCAATGCTCGAGCAATTTGAAAAAGCTAAAACGAAACGTACGGCTTCTATTGTGTTCCGACTGTCACCAATATCACAATCCGGGACCTAAAAAGAAAATAAAGCAGGCATGTGTGGACGATCGTGTATGATAAGGACTATTCACGTAAAATCACCTACCAAACCCGCCAGGATTTTGCTTTTGTTAGCTTATACCATTGTATTTTGCATGTGTGTAAAGTGCAGCGATTTCTTCGTAGATGACGAGGAGGAAACTTATGTCACAATGTAACTTACGAGAAGAAACGTCAAAGTGATTTAAGCTTTCAAACTAATTTTCATTCACAGACATCGTTACGATGAAAACCGTATTAGGTAAGGATTTAGGGGGATTGGAACCTACTTTTGCAATGGAACATTGCACTTATCTAGTGAATACCACAAAGGTATATACTTGACTAAATAACTTCAGAAAAAGACATTTAGTCTTGAGCAATAGTCTTGAAAAAGAAGAGCATATGCCGTTTAATAATCTCCCAAAAATCCTTTTTTGAATTAGAGTATGCTTAGAGTATTTTAAAGTAGTATAGGGGTACACTATAAATAGAGCTCCGGTAATTTTGTATCTTAACACTAAAATAATGCCACAAGCTGCAGGGCGTTGAACACTATGTTCTACATATAATGCTTGTGTCGTGGACCTTGCTAGACGAAAAGTGTTGTCGTGCATGATTTAGCCAATGAAGAAAACCATAGGGTAAGAAAAAAACTAATAAGCATGCTGGTAAGGAGAATGCTTTGGTACATCATTTTCGGTGTCGAGTTACCGTAACGTCCGAGATGTAACAAAATCTTAAATTTTAGGTGTCTGTTTTGTCGAAAGTACCTAAAAAAACAAGTATTGCCTTATATTTCATTTAGAATATATACCTTAGATTTATTAATTTCATAATCACTTCTATATCGCACGCCATCTGTCTTACATAAGCCGACTGCTTATTATTACGTTAGATCAAGTGTATAATCATATTTTTAAGGATGGTGTTGAAACTGCGGCCATAATTATAGTTATATATAAATATTTATGTTAAAACAGATGAATGCTTCAGTCTCGTTTTCCTCACTCAAACATTATTGTTTCCTTTGTAGTGGGTAGGTCAATTTACTGAACTTCTTAGTACTCAGCAGACAGCAACACGTACAGATTTAATAACAGTTATTGTAAATAGTATTACTGTTGCAGAAATAATGGCTCCTTAAAATTAACTACACCGGTCCCCCGAAAAGCTTCTCATTCTAGCCGTCTTCATCCCATCGTACATTGTCTTCAATGAAGTCACTTTAAATAGTTTCTACTGCTAATTTAACATCTGTCTATACCATTTAGTCTCCAACTCTATTTTGTAATTGTTGTGTTAAACCGAAACAAATGGTTAAGATCGTGCGTTAAGTCCACGTTCTTTATTTATATAAAGGCCAAAAAAGAAGAATGGCATCTGGGTACTTAGACAGGCGGAAGTCCGGCCTTTTGCCTACATTTCTGCATCAACGCTCGTAGCATAAACTGCTTTCGCGATTGCTCACGCACGTGCTGTAACGGAAATATTATAAAGCAATAACAAAACATGGATAGACTATGTAGATACATTAACTAATTATGTAGATAGGGTGTTGAATATTTCCAGTTCTAGCTAGTTCTATATTTTTGGTAAAATCAATTTTTACACAAATCTACAACATATATACACATAAATCACTTCATTGAGCTAAACATTGCATATGTGCTTATCTTTGTTGTATATGCAGATGAGATATTTTAGGCGCTATGACACTGTAAAAAATTGATTTCCCTGCAGATTTTTTCATCAAAACTCAATAACCACATATGTACTATATTTTACTTTGGATCAGGCTTCATTCAGGATCATTTTTGCTTAACATTCTTGAAAGTTGTAGGGAATTATTATTGCTTTTATGCATAGCCGACATGGTAAAGTTAACTTATTAAGTTACTAAGCTATCAAAAAAATTAAATTGTTTTGTGTTCCTTATTGTAATAATCAAGTCAAAAGAAATGCATATATTATACGTGACAATGTCGAACTGTGTAACGACCACGCGATGGAAGTACATAGATTCCGCATAATATAACAAGCACATCTTTTCTTTCTGTTATTTTTCTCCACTTACTTTCAAAAAGGTGTCTAGATCAATAACGCCTTTCCGCAAACCCTCTCCAAGGTAGTAGATGGCATCTTCCACTGCACTTTCCTCGGCATACGCCTGAAGAAGTTGGCGGTATAATGGCGCTGTAGGAGTAACAGCGTTGTCTACATCAAGACCCCCTTTTTCCGAATCCCACGACATTTGCTCGATTGACTATGAGAACAAAGGATGCAAACGTTATTTCACATAAGAGAGTTTTGTAAAACAAAAATAAGTGTGAACACGACACATCAATTTCCTTTTCAATAGTTATCTAGCAAACAATACATTTGAAACATATTAACTGTGTGGGCTTGTCTACGGCCATGTGAGCTTCTAATGCATTTTATATTACCACAAAGTTGAAACCGTTTGGCGGTCATAAATAAATAAAACGCGAAAATTACCTGTTTGAGTTGTTCACTCTTTTCTTTCAGTACGGTGAGATTTGATTCCATTTCCCTACAATCTCTTTCCATATCGGACATATAACGGTCTAACTTCTGCTTTCCCGCCTGTAGCTCTTCATTCGTTTTTCGAAGGACTTCTTCCTCGGCTTTGGACTTTTGCTCAAATTCAAGTGCTCTGAAATAATTAAATAGAATAATAAAGTTTACGGTTTCTGGCCACATTGACCGAACACGTTACGACTTTGAAAATGTAAACTAAAACTGCTTCTCAGTAAAGCTAAGTCGTGAAATTATAAGTTTCACAGATACACCATATTATTCTGCGTAAAATGCATGATTTCCATATATACTTTACAAATACAATTAGGACAGCATTTTTGATTTAGCAATGTTCGAATTCCTTAAAATTTTTGGCCTACTGAAAATGTTTTAAGTCCTTTGGATAGCTTGCTTTCTGCGTCATTTCTACAAAATAAGCACTTAATGGGAGTCCAAAGCTATTTTAATAATTCATTTCGCTCAGGTGTATTAAAGAATGAACGTATGAATTCATTATATAAGTCTTAGTTTATATTAATATCTGCGTATAAGCTTATTATAATACTTTTGCATACCTGTCAGTAATTCTACTTTCCACAGCTGACAAGAGGCTTATGCGAATGTGTTGGTCCGTTATACTGAGTGTGTTGTTGTTATTCGAGTTGTAATTAGGGTTGTATGACGGAGTACTATTGGGGTACATGGCAGTACCACCGGGGGTTGGCATTGGAAATGCCACAGACATGCCGGTTGAGCTTGGGTAGGGCGTAGACTGTGGCTTAGATTGTGCAGGTCGCGAGCTTCCAGGAGCATTTGGACTTTTGGAGAACACTGGGGGTTGTTCCCCGAAGATCATAATCATCACCTATTCATAGGGTATTGAATGTAAGTGAGTGGCGAGATTATACATCATCACATAGAGCAAACATGTTCTTCGTCATAAATTATGTTTCTACTAGAGTACACAGAGGCATGGCAGATAAACATACACTGGGTAGGTCTGCCAACAAGTGAAAAAAACGAATCCAGGGATGCTTAGTAATCAATGAAGTTACTTTTAGTAGCACAGTTAAGCAGACGTTTAATTAGGATAAATATATTCACTTACAGATAGGATAATCCTACCCAAAATACATAGCTGTGTGCTTCGGTGAACCGCTAACCAGTACGCGACGTTGTTGTTCCGTAACGCAAAACGCAGACCTGGCTTTTTAGACGATGAACCTCTAGCCAATTTTAATACGAAATTCGCAGATAAAGTTTTCAAAGTGACTAAACCTTTCAAAGTGATCGTATAGACTTTCATTACGATTCACTCAGGCTTCCAGCATATCCTCTACCTGTATAACTCCTATGAGATCGCTGCTGTTGCGATTCCAGTCGTGTAGGTACGGTAGATAGACCCGGCCACTTTCGTCCACGTACTGTGAGGTTTTAATCTGCATCGTTGGTGTTGGACAGACGTAACAAAAGGGCGCGTGGTACGGATGTATATCCAAGACCCAAATGCGAATCGGAATGTTGTACGTTACGTTCTTGTATCGAACAGGAATTGTCCCTAGAAAATTCCCAAGTGTAGTAAAACCGTGTTGAGCAGGACTTCTTTTTTAACTATTTCAAAAAATAACACAACGATTTAGATTGTATGGAGTCGGGTTGGTTGTTAAGTTGGTACTGACACAGTTGTCGAAAACTGTCACGTAATTTGTGTGTGTGTTGCAAGGAGTCGTGCAGCTATATATATTATTTTGTGTTTGAGCAGGATTTGCTTTTTCACAGCGTAACCCTTAACGCACCTTTCACGTCACTGAAGACATGTCTAATATTCACCCAAATGATATAATGTTACATAATATAAATTCGTAATATACTGAATAATGCTATGAATTTGCTAATATAAACGTTTGCATCATTCTACTTGAATTATACCAATCTATGTCACGCTAAGCAAAAAACAATGATTGAGAGTCTTGTCATTTCTGGTCCAACCTACCATCGAGGCACACGAGCTCCTTGGAACTGCCATTGTTGAAGATGAAGGTTTCTGCTTTTGGAATAAGGCCACGGTACTGTTGCGTCACACGCTTGATGTCGGCGCGGGCTTTCTGCATGTACTGGTAACTCTGATGTATCAATCCGTCAAAGACTTTTAGTTAAACATCCTAATACATAATAACACATTGAACCATAGTCGTTTACAATAGAAGTAATTCTCTCAAAATAGAAATGTTTGCGGCGATCTTCGTAAAAAAAACTCTTTACGCATGGAGATAGTTCTTTTGGCCGCTTCGCTTTTGATACTTTTTTGTAATATTACCTTACGGGCTTTTTCATGCACAACTGGTGGGTATACTTGTAATCGCAAAGTTCTTTTCGCCCGTCCACTACGATCTTTGTTCTCACATAGATGTAATTAAACGATTTGATTTTATGTGAAAGCAATCAAAAAGTAACCCATTATGTACAAGCTAATAACAAAATTGAATAGCCGCACTATACCACTACTAATTGAAGCTCATCAATAAAATCCGAAAAAGATGTTGTACGTTTTTTGTTGTCAGTATTTTGTACAGTATCCAATTGACCAAGTAAATTTTGATAACTGCATTCTCGAATTACGACGGCAAAGGCCTAGTACGAACATCATAAATGTAATGGATTTTCCATAGCTTACGGTGAAGTTTAATATAATATCGCAAAACTAAGCGTGTTCGCTGAAAAATCGCAATCTCAATCTTGTCCGATAAACTCTAACACCGTTTAGGTTATGCCACCTCTTTTTATTTTGAGATTGATGAAGTTTGAGTGAGTCTGAATCGAACATGAAAAGCGAGCAATTTATTTACAACAGCATTACCTCATACCCTCTTTCTTTTTTCAAAGCCATGTCTATTCACTGTCGCGGCCTCGAAAGTAACACGTAATTCTATACTTTAGCTAAGCTGCTGTTGCAGCATATCTATGTTGAAATGCAACATCTTTTTTGACTTCTCATTATGCCGCAGTTTTCTTCTGTTTAGTTCTCCCGTATATATGTTTATATATGCTCTGGACGCGGGAATTAAAAAATTTGATTAAGTAGTGTAATAACTTTAAAAACAATTTAGTCTTAATCAACATCCCACGTTTGTATAGAGTGGACAGAGCACGGTTACTAGATTTGTGGTAAAGTGAAGTTAGACAAATGACTTGTATGAACTTAATCATGAAAAATTACCCTATCGTAGATGCGTCATATCCCATTAGACCTAGCAAGCGATTCATTTGCATAAGGATATTATACCGATCTATGTTTGAACAAGATCGTGGGAGACCTCCTTGCAATAAATAGGTTCTGTTTATGCGTATGATGATATCAATTATTCCGCGATAGAAATCTAACACAGACTTGACAATTAATGAAATAGCTAGCCGAGACCAAGTTGTTTTTTTATTTCTATTAATACTCTGACTCACAGTAACGATACTTATTAACATCGATGTGGTGAATGATACATTAATGTCAGTTGTTGGGATAATATTTTAATGCTATGTACCGAATTAATGCAGCGTTCCACAGCAGCTGGAAGTGGACCCATCCTCCCCCGTTATGCTGAACTGCACTCTAGAATGCACTATCAGACAGGTAGCCTACTTCCAATGACGGTGATCGAGACGACGATGATGATATCCACTGATTGTGCACGATCGAGTTTTTGCGTATGAGGTATTAGCCGTCACTATTTCGCACAAGCTCACAGCACCTTATACGAACGGAGTCCAGTTTAATACAAGAGCGATAATAATGACGACGAGTCTGACGAGAAACACTGCACGCGGCGGCTCCTTGCACAAAGAATGTCTAATCACATCGCTCACAGAGAAACTCCGCATTATAGACGCAGACTCGCATCTGACTGTTGGCTAGTTGACATTCTTTGACTCATTAGTCGTACCATTAGTAGAATCGTATAAATTATTCTGTATTCAATTTCTGTTCCTTTCTCTCTAACCCAATAATAATTTCAGAACAGCATTTGCATTGACACTCGAACACACACATACACAGATATACACCCAGAAAAGACTTGTTTCTACATTAAAAAAAAAGCAGAAGGACAAGTCCTGAACCTACATTCACAAACAGACGAAATAATCCCATGCAGAACAACATTAGCCTGGACATGCCTGGAAATGTCGTCAGCTAAAGTGTGACCAAGGAAAATAAGGCGGGCGAATTTGAACTAATCGAACTATTGTTTCGGAGTACGTAGCCGTTTTACTTAAAATTAATGCCAAGCTGATGGTAAAGAAAATGTTTACATTAAGCAATTAAAAAGAATAGGTTAGAACTGTCAAACAGACGATTTTCGAATAACTATGTGTATTTTGGTTGGTTAAACGAAATCACGTTCTCTTCATCAAAGTTCTATTTATCGTGGTAGATTAGAAAATTATTTGTTTTCCCTGCATTGCTACAAAAAATGAAATAGTTGTAAAGAACATACATCTTATGCCAACGCATTAGCCTCATATGATATAAAGTAGATAGTAAGTTACTTCAGATTAATGATGTCTTCTGTGTAAAAATTATCTTAAGAATCCCCTGCTGAAATGTGTAAAAACAAATATTCGCTCAAAACTTGACTCAAAATTCCCTTTCGCGGTTACTATATTGGGGCCTCATTCATGCTTGCGTCAGGTTGCCGAAAGTACTGCTCTACAATCATTCTTTATCAAGGTATTGATAGAAGAATACGAGGCAATATTTAACGCAGAGAAGAATTTCTAGTAAAATGTATGTTTTTCCCAAACCATTAAGTTTCTCATTTAACCTCTGAGTTTCACATATGCTCGGGTATTAATAGTTTGTAGAAGTACAAATCAGATATCTGCATGATAAGTTCCTTTATTCACATAGGTTGTATAGTGTTTGCTTTTGCCGGGACTTGAAGTAGCTAATCCTGTTTTTTTTAGATCCCAGTTTGAAATGACAGGTTGTATTAAATGATCAAGAACATCAGGAGTGACACTGTTGGAATATGTAAAAAAAAATATAGAAGCACTAGTTTTTGTTTGAATACAATTTTAGAGACGAGGCTTAGGAAAGAACTAGCTCTCTCTCTCTCTCTCTCTCTCTATTATATATATATATATATATATATCGCTTGTCCACAGTTTTTGGTAACAACATTATCATTACTAGATAGGCTTTAAAAACAAAAGACAGCATTATACAACTCTTGAGTCTATCAACATGGTTTTAGCGGCGATAAAACATTCTCACTGTAAGAATGCACTGTAAAAAAGATCAAATCCGAGGAAGGACTTGTACAATGTAAATTGTCCTCATTCAAGAAGAATATATGCCAATAAAAATGTATATCTATCAAAGCATGAGGTTAATTAATTGCTTGCTTTATACGGTCACGTAAGGAATAAGAATGATTTTTAGAATCTATATGCATATATTTCATTATTAGAATATTATTAAAACTTCATTGATTACTAAGCATCCCTGGATTCGTTTTTTTCACTTGTTGGCAGACCTACCCAGTGTATGTTTATCTGCCATGCCTCTGTGTACTCTAGTAGAAACATAATTTATGACGAAGAACATGTTTGCTCTATGTGATGATGTATAATCTCGCCACTCACTTACATTCAATACCCTATGAATAGGTGATGATTATGATCTTCGGGGAACAACCCCCAGTGTTCTCCAAAAGTCCAAATGCTCCTGGAAGCTCGCGACCTGCACAATCTAAGCCACAGTCTACGCCCTACCCAAGCTCAACCGGCATGTCTGTGGCATTTCCAATGCCAACCCCCGGTGGTACTGCCATGTACCCCAATAGTACTCCGTCATACAACCCTAATTACAACTCGAATAACAACAACACACTCAGTATAACGGACCAACACATTCGCATAAGCCTCTTGTCAGCTGTGGAAAGTAGAATTACTGACAGGTATGCAAAAGTATTATAATAAGCTTATACGCAGATATTAATATAAACTAAGACTTATATAATGAATTCATACGTTCATTCTTTAATACACCTGAGCGAAATGAATTATTAAAATAGCTTTGGACTCCCATTAAGTGCTTATTTTGTAGAAATGACGCAGAAAGCAAGCTATCCAAAGGACTTAAAACATTTTCAGTAGGCCAAAAATTTTAAGGAATTCGAACATTGCTAAATCAAAAATGCTGTCCTAATTGTATTTGTAAAGTATATATGGAAATCATGCATTTTACGCAGAATAATATGGTGTATCTGTGAAACTTATAATTTCACGACTTAGCTTTACTGAGAAGCAGTTTTAGTTTACATTTTCAAAGTCGTAACGTGTTCGGTCAATGTGGCCAGAAACCGTAAACTTTATTATTCTATTTAATTATTTCAGAGCACTTGAATTTGAGCAAAAGTCCAAAGCCGAGGAAGAAGTCCTTCGAAAAACGAATGAAGAGCTACAGGCGGGAAAGCAGAAGTTAGACCGTTATATGTCCGATATGGAAAGAGATTGTAGGGAAATGGAATCAAATCTCACCGTACTGAAAGAAAAGAGTGAACAACTCAAACAGGTAATTTTCGCGTTTTATTTATTTATGACCGCCAAACGGTTTCAACTTTGTGGTAATATAAAATGCATTAGAAGCTCACATGGCCGTAGACAAGCCCACACAGTTAATATGTTTCAAATGTATTGTTTGCTAGATAACTATTGAAAAGGAAATTGATGTGTCGTGTTCACACTTATTTTTGTTTTACAAAACTCTCTTATGTGAAATAACGTTTGCATCCTTTGTTCTCATAGTCAATCGAGCAAATGTCGTGGGATTCGGAAAAAGGGGGTCTTGATGTAGACAACGCTGTTACTCCTACAGCGCCATTATACCGCCAACTTCTTCAGGCGTATGCCGAGGAAAGTGCAGTGGAAGATGCCATCTACTACCTTGGAGAGGGTTTGCGGAAAGGCGTTATTGATCTAGACACCTTTTTGAAAGTAAGTGGAGAAAAATAACAGAAAGAAAAGATGTGCTTGTTATATTATGCGGAATCTATGTACTTCCATCGCGTGGTCGTTACACAGTTCGACATTGTCACGTATAATATATGCATTTCTTTTGACTTGATTATTACAATAAGGAACACAAAACAATTTAATTTTTTTGATAGCTTAGTAACTTAATAAGTTAACTTTACCATGTCGGCTATGCATAAAAGCAATAATAATTCCCTACAACTTTCAAGAATGTTAAGCAAAAATGATCCTGAATGAAGCCTGATCCAAAGTAAAATATAGTACATATGTGGTTATTGAGTTTTGATGAAAAAATCTGCAGGGAAATCAATTTTTTACAGTGTCATAGCGCCTAAAATATCTCATCTGCATATACAACAAAGATAAGCACATATGCAATGTTTAGCTCAATGAAGTGATTTATGTGTATATATGTTGTAGATTTGTGTAAAAATTGATTTTACCAAAAATATAGAACTAGCTAGAACTGGAAATATTCAACACCCTATCTACATAATTAGTTAATGTATCTACATAGTCTATCCATGTTTTGTTATTGCTTTATAATATTTCCGTTACAGCACGTGCGTGAGCAATCGCGAAAGCAGTTTATGCTACGAGCGTTGATGCAGAAATGTAGGCAAAAGGCCGGACTTCCGCCTGTCTAAGTACCCAGATGCCATTCTTCTTTTTTGGCCTTTATATAAATAAAGAACGTGGACTTAACGCACGATCTTAACCATTTGTTTCGGTTTAACACAACAATTACAAAATAGAGTTGGAGACTAAATGGTATAGACAGATGTTAAATTAGCAGTAGAAACTATTTAAAGTGACTTCATTGAAGACAATGTACGATGGGATGAAGACGGCTAGAATGAGAAGCTTTTCGGGGGACCGGTGTAGTTAATTTTAAGGAGCCATTATTTCTGCAACAGTAATACTATTTACAATAACTGTTATTAAATCTGTACGTGTTGCTGTCTGCTGAGTACTAAGAAGTTCAGTAAATTGACCTACCCACTACAAAGGAAACAATAATGTTTGAGTGAGGAAAACGAGACTGAAGCATTCATCTGTTTTAACATAAATATTTATATATAACTATAATTATGGCCGCAGTTTCAACACCATCCTTAAAAATATGATTATACACTTGATCTAACGTAATAATAAGCAGTCGGCTTATGTAAGACAGATGGCGTGCGATATAGAAGTGATTATGAAATTAATAAATCTAAGGTATATATTCTAAATGAAATATAAGGCAATACTTGTTTTTTTAGGTACTTTCGACAAAACAGACACCTAAAATTTAAGATTTTGTTACATCTCGGACGTTACGGTAACTCGACACCGAAAATGATGTACCAAAGCATTCTCCTTACCAGCATGCTTATTAGTTTTTTTCTTACCCTATGGTTTTCTTCATTGGCTAAATCATGCACGACAACACTTTTCGTCTAGCAAGGTCCACGACACAAGCATTATATGTAGAACATAGTGTTCAACGCCCTGCAGCTTGTGGCATTATTTTAGTGTTAAGATACAAAATTACCGGAGCTCTATTTATAGTGTACCCCTATACTACTTTAAAATACTCTAAGCATACTCTAATTCAAAAAAGGATTTTTGGGAGATTATTAAACGGCATATGCTCTTCTTTTTCAAGACTATTGCTCAAGACTAAATGTCTTTTTCTGAAGTTATTTAGTCAAGTATATACCTTTGTGGTATTCACTAGATAAGTGCAATGTTCCATTGCAAAAGTAGGTTCCAATCCCCCTAAATCCTTACCTAATACGGTTTTCATCGTAACGATGTCTGTGAATGAAAATTAGTTTGAAAGCTTAAATCACTTTGACGTTTCTTCTCGTAAGTTACATTGTGACATAAGTTTCCTCCTCGTCATCTACGAAGAAATCGCTGCACTTTACACACATGCAAAATACAATGGTATAAGCTAACAAAAGCAAAATCCTGGCGGGTTTGGTAGGTGATTTTACGTGAATAGTCCTTATCATACACGATCGTCCACACATGCCTGCTTTATTTTCTTTTTAGGTCCCGGATTGTGATATTGGTGACAGTCGGAACACAATAGAAGCCGTACGTTTCGTTTTAGCTTTTTCAAATTGCTCGAGCATTGGCTCAACTTCAAAAACGGGACTCAACCAACCTACTTCTCATAACAGACATTAGAGTAAGCTCTAATTTACTGGATATCTAACGTCAAACTGATAGATTGGCCTATTTCGCTTCGAATATCGAGGCCACGTGCAGGTTCCGTATATTGATCCCAATGTTTCGTGCCGGATTAGATTTGTGTGCCGGTTTAATGTGTGTACTTCTTCTGTATTTGTCGACATGCCCGCAGCACGCGTGTCAAATATCCTACGATCGGGGTGTATTACTAATGCGACACGTGTGCGTACAATTTAATATGCAACGAATGCGAAAAACACTGCACGGAATTGGTACTGCAGTGCAACGTTCAACAAGCTAGGCTAGTGAGAGTCACACGTCTATTTGTAGATGGTTTGATTTTCGTTTTTGTGAAAAGGCTGACCATGATCTCCATGAAAGGTCGCTATACGGCGCGTGAGCTGAAAAGAAAGAGCTAAACAGCGAAATCGGATTACAATGGCACAAGGTGCTCAAAATATAGTCGGCCTTCTTAGCTGTCTGGTGGTACAACTTGTGGTATGTTCGCAGTTAATTATTTAATAGATTATCGTCAAAACTTGATTAGTAGGCTTTTGCTGATCTTGTTTAACTTACATCTCCTGTTTAAACAGTTTGATGAAAGACCAATGCCAATTTTATCTCTCTGCCACTCCTTGAACGAGAAAGATGAAATCGTCGCCTAGAAGGACGTGTGGATCTGAATTCTGTTAAAAATATCGATAGATTAATTAAGCTCTAGGAATACATAAGCTAAGGATGAGCAAGACTAAAAAGGTACGAGCGTTTGCGACGATTGGTGTAGATATATATATATATATAATGTCCCAGAAAATATTTATGGCGATTAGTCGAATTTACCTCAAACTCTATTTTGCCGCGCATTCCGAGAGAATTTGGCGAAGATAGTAAAGCTTATTTTCAACAGAAAAGAACATTTGCGCACTATTATCGTGATGTGAGAACATATGGGGATACTTAAAGGGCAAAGTCTACGGAAGTAAATCGACGACACTCGAAGATTTCAAAGTCGTGGTTGACCAGGAATACGTCATAACACCAAATAAAATCAAGTTTGTGAATGAATACCGTGTCATTATCGGCACTGTATTGACCAAAATGGTAGAAATTTTAAATATTTGCTATAAAAGGAAAAATAAATTGACTTTATTAAGCATTACTTATTTGTAAATAAAAATTAAGGTTATCATTCAAACTGTGTATACATTGTTGGGACATCCTGTATATATATGTATATATATACATATATATATATATATATAGAC